GGGGAGAAAGGACGAGCAAGGGGCGAAGGGTCGTTGTTTCAACGATGGGGCCTCGAGGGCTGGGGCCCTCAGTACGAGGGGCCTGAAGCGGTGCAAATTGAACCTGCGATCCCTTCTCTATCCTTAGGGGCCCATCCCTCAGGGCCCCATCTTTGAACCGCCGAGAGAGGGAGAAGGAGGGAGGCAGATGTCGCCATGAAGCAGGCGGGTCCTGAGAGAAGCGGAACCTAAGTTTTGTCCATTGCCGCTTCGGGCTTCTCTGGGACCTCCACGGGCCCTGGGGGCTTGCTTGCAGACGGCTCAGGACGAATAGTCGGTTCTGGGGGGGAGGTCCCGGGGTCCAAGACGCGTTTCCCTCAGGACCGTTTCCCTCAGGAGCTGTTTATTTCATATCCAGGCCCCCATTTGGGGCCCGAGTAGATGCGTTCGGAGGATGGTGCCGCATAGCCTATGCATCGGCGGTTCGGCTCGATGTGGTACCCTAATGGCTCCGCTCCGGCGGCGCCGACGCATCGGTGACGCGGCGCGATCCTCGGACCGCATCTGCGCGGGCTCCGTCTGGGAGGCCTCCGTCATACCAGAGGGAGGAGCATGGGGAGGAGCGAAAGCACATGTAGAAACTCTGCGCCAGTTGCTATACCTGCGCAGCTTTGCTGGGAAGTTGCCGACCGTGCATCTTTGTGGTTCGCATGGCTCCCCACCTCCCTTGGGCAGGCAATGCAGATCCAGAAGCTCTTGCAGATGCAGCAGCCAGGGCAGCCTGTGATGCCACTCGCGCAGCCACCTGGGCCACAGGCGTTGACGAGCTGATTTTTGTCGTCGTCGACGATATCGCAATGGAGGGAAGGGTACGGTCTCGGAAAGGTGCACTCTTTCCTATCTATCTGTATGTTTAGAAATATATCTCTCTCTCTCTCTTTCTCTTTCAGCCCCGTTCCACCTCCGTATCTTCCTCGGTCGCTTCCTCCGTTTCCACATGCTCTTTCTGCATATCTATCTCTACCTTCTCTCTCTCGTGTTCTGTCGCTCGATACGCATATATATATATATATATATGTATATATATGTGTGTGTGTATTGTTATACAGCTAGTGTTTATTATGTCTCTCTCTCTCTACCTCTGTCTCTCTCTCTCTCGCTCTTTCTTTCTCTCTCTCTCTCTCTTTTCTCTCTCTCTCTCTGTTTGTTATATGTCTCTCTCGTTATGTATATATGTACATGTAGAATGTGTATGTATAAAATGGCCTGCGGCCCATACCGCAACCGTGGCTGGGTTATGGGCATGAAGCCTCTTAGGCGTTCGTCGGGAGTTCGTGGGAGGCCCCTCGGGGGCCTCTTTTGGAAGCACTTCTGAGGCCTCCTGGGGGGCCGTTGTGCGGCCTGCAGGCGCCAGGAGGAGGAGGAGGAGGAGGAGGCGGAGAAGGAGAAGGAGGACCAGGATCAGGACGAGGAGGAGGACGAGGAGGAGGAGGAGGGACCTCTTGGGGCCTCTTGCGCGCCTCGTGAGGCATCCTGGGGGACTCTTGGGCAGACGGCTAGAAGTTTCGGTCCGTGCTCCCTCTCTTGGGCCGGGGAGGAGGAGGAGGAGGAGGCGGAGGAGGAGGAGGAGGAGGGAGGGAGGAGGGAGGAGGAGGGAGGAGGGAGGAGGGAGGAGGGAGGAGGGAGATGGGACCGTCTCGGGCGCCCCATGGGCCTTCTTGGGGGGCGCCATTATATTCACGTGCCACCACCCGGGGAGCCTAGGGGAACCGCGGGAAGCCCCAAACGATTTCGGACATTGGGGCCTGGGTCCCTTACAGACTCCTCAGGACTGAAGACTGAGGCTGCAGGGATTAGGCAAAGGACCTGGGTACACGGCCACTCCGTGCCCAGAAGCACGGTGGCGGATCTCTCTTTCTCTCTCTTTCTCTCTCTCTTTCCCTCTCTCTCTCTCTCTCTCTCTCTCTATATATATATATATATGTATGTTTTCCCCCTCGTCTCTCTCTCTCTGTCTCTTTCTCTCTCTCGCTCTCTCTCGCTCTCTCTCTCGCTCTCTCTCTCTCTCTCTGTATCTCTCTCTCTCTCTCGCTCTAGTTGCTTATTTCCTCTCTCTCTCTCGCTCTCTCTCTCTCTCTCTCTCTCGCTCTCTCGTCTCTGTCTGCCAACTTGTCTGCGACCCACCAAACGAACAATAACGTCAGTCCATAGCGGCTGAAGGAAATTGCACGATATCAGACGCACTTCTACAGGCTTGGAAGTACTGCGAAGGCCTCACGGCCAGTGCCGCCGACCCTGAATGGCGACGACGACGACGACGACGACGACAACGAGCGCTCTCGGGGGCCTCTTGGGGGTAGTTTTGGGGCCTCTTGGGAAGCTCTTGGTGGCCGCTTGGAAGCCTCCTGGGGGGCCTCTTGGGGTCTCTGGGGTTCTCTTGGGGGCTTCCTGGGGCTTTTTGGGGGCTTCTTGGGGACCGCTGGGGGCCTCCTGAGCGCTTCTCAGGCCGAGGGCTCGAAATGTCCGTTCGGGTCCCCCGTCTGGGCTCCTCCTTGGAGCCGTCTTGGGGGCCTCTTCGGCTGTCGTGGAGGCCTCTTGGTCGGTCTTGGGGCCCTCTTGGGTCGTTTTGGGGCCCTCTTGGAGGCCTCTTGGGCCATCTTGGGGCGGTCTTGGGGGCTTCTTGGCTTGTCTTGGAGCGTCAGGAAGCTGACACGGCGAGCATGTCGAAACCTTTCAAAAACTTACGGGGATCGATGATGTTTGCCCCGTGGGACCCTCTTGGAAGTCCTCTTGGAGGCCTCTTGGGGCGTTTTGGAAACCTTTTGAGCCGTCTGGAGGCTACTTTGGCGGCTTGGACCGATACTTCGGCGATTCGGGGCCTTCGAGGACCGTCTTGGGGACATCTTGGGGCAGTTTTGCCGCGTGCTGCGGCATTTCTTGGCCGCCCAACCGCCCGAGGGGGAGTCGTATCTGCCCCGGGACCCCCCTCCGCGGCGGGGAAGGGATCAAAGGGAAGGGGTTTCCCTTCGACTCAAAGGGAAGGGGCTTCCCTTCGCCTCAACTACAACGTTGCTCGATCTCGCTGTGGCTGGCGCGCTCGAAGAGAACACGGTGAAAGTGGGGGGGAACGGCGACGGGCCTAGGGAAGGGGGGGGAAGCGAGCGGCGAAGGCGACGACGACGACGACGACGACGACGCCGACGACGACTCCAACGGAGCAGCCTCTTCCACACGCCGACGGGGTCGGCGGACTTCCCCCGAACGCCACACCCGGGCCCCAATAAACACCCGAAGGGCACACGAATGCTGCTGCCCCCAACCCTGGCCGCATCCGCGGCCGCACGGTCCGAACGCCCCCCATAAAATCCTCCTCCTCCTCCTCGTCCTCCTCCCTCCTCCTCCTCGTCCTCCTCCCTCCTCCTCCTCCTCGTCCTCCTCCTCCTCCTCCTCCTCCTTGTTCTCCTCCTCCTCCTCATCCTCCTCCTCTTCCTCCTCCTCATCCTCCTTCTCCTTGTTCTCCTCCACGGGTTTCCGCCTGCGCGGGTCCCTTGGGTGATCCATTCCTTTAATCATTTATTAGGGAGAATGGGCGGAGCCTGATTTGGGCGCTTCTGTCTGGGACGTCCTCAAAAAACCTGCCTGGTGTGGCTCTTGGCCCCTGGTGTTGCCTGGTTTGGCCCAGCTTGCCCTGGTTTGGCCGTGCGCCCCGCCTGAGACAGCCGCACAACTTGCCTGGTTTGGTCCCCGGTTTTGCCTGGTGTGGGCCCGGTTTCATGTGAGACGTCCTCAAGATTTGCCAGGTTTGGCCTGGTTTGGGCCCGGTTTCGTTCGAGACGTCCTCAAATGTGCTTGGTTTCGCCCTGGTGTGGCGTGGTTTGGGCCCCGTTTCGCTTGAGGCGTCACAAGTTGCTTCGTTTGGCCGGCTCAAAGAAGCCTTCACGAGGCTCGCGGAGCGAAACATCTACGAACGCCCGTACGATCCATGGTCGCTACGCGGTCCAAATGCACAACACGATGTGTCACGTTTGCTTCGACACTGTACGGGTAATTGACACACGTCGTGGTGAAGTGGTGGCACGGTGTCGTCCACATGCAACACGACTGCGCTACAAAATGGCGGGTGGCATGGGCGTGGACATCCCCCAAATACTGTGCGGATCGGCATGGGCGTGTGTGGCGGCGTTGGAAGGAAACCTTTTGTGAGGCTGTGGTCTGTAGGCATCAGTGCTGAGCGGCCTCCTATCTGCATCGTTCCACATGAGGAAAGATGATCGTATTGGAGCGCATTCTTTAAATCATCCCGCAGGCGCTGAGCCAGATTGGAAAGGCGCGCGTCATTCTAATAGCGTGACTCGTCCGTTGCTGACACAAAATGTTGCGTTTTGAGGTGCATGTGTTAGTCCACTTCATACAATGAGGTGGATCGTTCTTTCATGCGTTTGTCCGAGCGGACCGGAACATGGTAGAATCACGTCTGCCGCCGTCCTGCACCGCTTGCTTTTGTAGCCTTTCTCCGAATACAGTGGGCACACGAATCAATGCATCGTTTGTGTTTAACCGGGGTTCCCCGGGATTCCTATTTCAAGGTTGGAAATGAGATCAGATCCCCAGGGGGTCCCGAAGGTTGGACATAACAGAACCGCTGGATTTCATGGTGTGGGTTTCTTGTGGATGTCCCTCGTTGCCGAAGTCCCACCGCAGCTCGATGGAGAGGAAGCGGGAGAATGATTGACCACTAGTCTGCGGAGAGTCGAGCGGAGTTGTTGGGCCGGAGCCATACCCCGCCCCCCTCCCCACACCCCTTCACCCCCTCCCGTCGCGCGGGGCGCACCCGCGCCGCCAAGGGTGGCTGGGAAGGGGTTCCAGCGCCGACTCAAGAAACCCCGAAGGTGTCTGTGTGTGCAGCTCGTTTGTGGCTCTGCCTCACATCGGCGACGAGCGAAGGGGGGAAATGAGAAGGAGAAGGCCTTCTCAGAAGGCGGCGGGACTTCTCGGAAGCCCCCCTGGCGCCTTCTGAGAATTGTTCTGCGTCTCTGGGGAAGGTCCCGAAAACTTTTCAGAAGGCCGGGGAACTTGCGAGCCTTCTCAGAAGGCCCGCCCCTTCTCACTTCCCCCCCCGGGCGCGCCGCCGATCCGAGGAGCCAGAGAACATGATAGGATGGGGGTGCGTTCCAGGACTTCGGCGTCCCCTGCTGCTCCGCAAGGGCTGCACCGACGAGGGCCGCTATACTCAGGTCAGACCTGTCCCCCTACAGGCGGATTTTGGACCAAAAATGGAAAATATTCTAAATATAGTTTGTAAAAAGTCAGAAATAATACAAGAATCGTCCCCAGACTATTGTTTGACTATATATGAGAGAGCGTGGTCCACCGCCGCTTTACTGTGGAAAATTGCCAACCTTTTCCTCCGGAACCCGTGGGTCGCCCCCCCCCCCCTCCGAAATCCCCCCCCCCCCCCCCTGCTGGAACCCCTCCCCCCCCCCCCCCCTCCCCCGGCAAAACCCCCCCCCCCTCCCCTAACCCCTCCCCCCCCCCCCCCCCCCCCCCTCCCCCTCGAAAACCGGGGGGGTCACTACCGGTTCGAACCCCCCCCACCCCCCTCCGGATCCGGAAAACCGGGGGGGGTCACTACCGGTTCGAACCCCCCCCCCCCCTCGAAAACCGGAGGGGGATCACTACCGGTTCGAACCCCTCCCCACCCCCCCACTCACCGCCAGCAAACGACTCCCGGTCCCTACCACCGTCCGCATCACATCCTCCACTGTTGTTCCCAGCACCACTGTCCTCACCACCACTGTCCCCACTGTGTCCCCACCAGTGCCCCCACCACTGTCGCACTGTCCCCACTGTCCCCACCACTGTTCCCACCACGGTTCCACTCTCCCCACTGTCTCCACGGCCCCAACCACTGCCCGACTATCCCCACTGTCCCCACTGTCCCACCGACTCCGCCGCTGTCCCACTGAGCTGTCCCACTGTTCCACTGTCCCCACTGTCCCCACCACTGTCCCCACTGTACCTCTGTCCCATTGTCCCACCGCCGTCCTCGCCACCGCCTTCACCACTGTCCCCACCACCATTGTACCCTCCACTGTCCCATTGTTTCCACCTCATTCCCACTGTGCCCACACCATTGTCACCACCACCACCGTCCCCACCACTGTCCACTGTCCCCCCTGTTCCCACCATTGTCCTCACCACTGTCCCCACCACTACCGGCCCTCTACTGTCCCACTGTCCCACTGTCCCCACCACTGTCCCGCTGTCCCCTCACCACTGTCCCACCAACACCGTCCCCACCTCTGTCCGCACCCCCACTGGGTTTTCGAGAGGGGGGGGGGGGTTCGAACCGGTAGTGACCCCCCCCCCTTTTCATGATGAGCTGGGGGGGGGGAGGGGTTCGAACCGGTAGTTGGACCCCCCCGTTTTCCAAATGGGGGGGGGGGAGGGGTTCGAACCGGTAGTGACCCACCCCGGTTTTCCGCCAGCAGCGGTAGAACACGCTCTTTCCTATGTTTGAATATTCCTCCTGTAGAGGGACAGGCCCGACTTAGCGTTATAGTTACTCTTGGAATTCCAAAGTAACTATGGCGAATCGCTGGAGCGTGTCCTGAGCCAATCGCATCATAACCTCATCCTCGTCCCGCCTCGGCGGCGCGCCGAGGGGGGGAAGCGGAGAGAGGGCCAGCCTGATCAGAAGGCGGCGGGGCTCCGCAAAAGCCCTCCGACCTCTGAGAAGCCCTCCTTGCGGTTTCGGAGAAGGGCCCGACCGCCCCAGCATTCTTATAGACCTACCATTAGCTTCATGCTGACAGCAGGATGCTCCCTGTTCTCATAACATAAGGCAGACGCAACAAAAAAACGGTCTCAGCCAGAAGTGCGTTGGTATACCCATCGGTCGTTGAAAGTGGTTGTTTGCTTGGGATTCCCAGATTCCAGTGTACTTTAAGCGCTTGCCTATTTCAATGGTCGAGTGGCTTCCCCTCTTCCCGCCTCTTCAGGGGGCGCGCGGAGACCCAATCTACTCCCAACGCCCTCCTACTTCGTGTTTCGACCTACTTTTTCCGACCGATGGGTAACATTCCGCGCAAGCCGCGAAAGATTCTCAGGACGTTCCCTGGTGGCTCTATGGGAAGACCAGGGCGCCTCGCCTCTGCCTTACCGCCGGGCGCGCCGTCGACGACTGCTCCTGAGGCATCTGCCTCGCCTCCGCGGCCCCCCGCGCCGCAGATGCCGCAGATGTTGTCCGCAGCCGACGCCGCGGTCCTTGCCGCGGCGTTCCCCGCTGTGGCAGGCGGGCTTGTCCACGCCCAGCCCCTCCTGCTCGGATGCTGCGAGAGCTAGCCGCGCCCTTTTGTGGGGTCCCTTCTCGGGCCTCGCGAGAGGTGCGCCCCAGCCCAGATTTCCGACGATCTGACTTTCTCGGCTGGCGGTTTGTCCTCAAGTCGGGTCTGGGGACCGTTGTCCGGCCCGGGACCATCAAACATGGATCGGGGCCGGAAAATTAACTCAGAGGAAGGCGTCGGGACCTTTTGGGACCGCGCATTGAATATACGTGTATCTAAATACATGAATCTATATTTCTATATCAGAGTGAGGGGGCCGAACGGTCATTCATCGTCCCTGGGTGCGTGGCTGAATAAGGGATTCGTGGTGAGAATTCTGCTAGTTGCGTTGTTGTTGCTGTTGTTGTTTGTTGTCGTCGCACCCCGCGACCCACCCCGCGACCCACCCCGCGACCCCCCCGCGACCCAACCCGCGACCCACCCCTCGACCCACCCCGCGACCCACCCGCGACCCACCCGCGACCCACCCGCGACCGACCCCGCGACCCACCCGCGACCCATCCCGCGACCCATCCACGACCCATCCGCGATCCACCCGCGACCCACCCCGCGACCCACCCGCGACCCACCCCGCGACCCACCCTCAAGGGAGGAAAAGCTACCCGGACCCGAGAGTTGACGTTTACTGAACGGCCCTGGGCGTTGGCTAAACAGCCCTGCCCTGTTCGATTCACTCCTTGTGTGCGTTTACCAGACGGTTTCGCGTGTCGGGGTGATGATTACGGGGTGGATGAACGAAAAAATCGGCACCTGCGGCGGGTTCGTTGTATGATTTGTGTAAATTTGGCGCCTGCGGCGGGCTTCTCCGGAGTCTCGCAAACTGTTGACTTCCCCACCGCCCCCTCACTCTGATCCGCATATGCGGGGTGCCACGTGTGTTTATATATATATATATATATATATCTATATATATAAATTATAATACATATATACACATATATATATACATACATATATATATACACCTATACGACCACCCTGCGGGTGGTAAGAAGGTTGTGGGGGGGTGGGGGGAGGGGGGTGGCTCATGACGACAACTGTGTTGAACGTGGTGCTGATGGGCGATGATGGTGTGCATGACGTGGCGGAGTTTTTTTTTGTTCCTTCGCTTGGCGATATCACAATCGATCTCACAATCGATCTCACATTCGGTCTCACTATCGATCTCACGATCGATCCCACTATCGATCCCACTATCGATCTCACGATCGGTCTCACAGTCGATCTCACTATCCATCTCACGACAGGACACCGACGGGACACCGACGGGACAACGGCGAGCCACCGACGGGACAATGCGGGCATCTCACTATCGATCTCACGATCGAACTCACTATCGATCTCGCGATCGGTCTCACAGTCGATCGCACTATCGATCTCACGACAGGACACCGACGGGACACCGACGGGACACCGACGGGACAACGGCGAGCCACCGACGGGACAATGCGGGCCCCCGCTTGACAAGGCCGGGGGGGGGGGGAAACATTTGTGTTGGCGGGCCCCTAGCGACAGCAGAGTGAATTCCTCTCGCCCGCCCACGCAGCTTCGCCTCGCCCGCACGCACGGCACGAGCACGAACTCGAAACTCGATTTCCCGGTGGGGGGACTCCGTTACACTGCGATCTGACCCCCCAACCTCCGATCTATATATATATATATGATGTATATCTATATCTATATATATATATATCGATTCATTCATTCATACAGTCATACAGAGATACATACATGCATGCATACATACCTACGTACATACACACATGCATGCATACATGTAAAATACATGCAGACGTTTACATTTATATACATTATATGTGTATAGATACACATCCGGTTGTCTGCAGTTGCCTCCCAGGAAATCCTGGGGACACCTCGGGTTCGCCGCCCTCCTCTCCCTCCCTCCTCCTCCTCCTCCTCCTCCTCCTCCTCCTCCTCCCTCCTCCTCCTACTACTACTACTACTACTACTACTACTACTACGACTACTGCTGCTACTACTACTACTACTACTACTCCTTCTCCTACTCTATCCTTATTCCTTATTAGAATATACTCCTACTCTCCCCCTCAGGCCGGCAGATAGCGGGCGCATCCGGTGATTTTACCTAACAGCGAAGACTGATAGGTTTCTACAAGACTCAAAAGAGAGCAGCAGATGACTCCACAGGGGGGTCTGGGCGGGTGCCGGACAGGGTGCCGCAGAAGTCATTTTAAGCCAACAGTCACACACTTCGTGCTCTTCGACCTCCCAGAACTCCATTCCCGGGCCACATTCTGAATGCCCGGAGCCAACTGTAGGCCACTTCGTGCTCTTCGACTTCCCAGAACTCCATTCCCGGGCTACATTTTGAATGCCCGGAGCCACCTGTAGGCCACTTCGTGGTCTTCGAGTCCCCAGAACTCCATTCCCGGGCCACTTTTTGAATGCCCAGAGCCAACTGTAGGCCACTTCGTGCTCTTCGAGTTCCCAGAACTTCATTCCCAGGCCACATTTTGAATGCCCGGAGCCAACTGTAGGCCACTTCGTGCTCTTCGAGTTCTCAGAACTCAATTCCCGGGCCACATTTTGAATGCCCGGAGCCAACTGTAGGCCACTTCGTGCTCTTCGAGTTCCCAGAACTCCATTCCCGGGCCACATTTTGAATGCCCGTAGCCAACTGAGGCTGAGGCAGGCTGCTGCTGAGGCAGGCTGAGGCTGAGGCTGAGGCAGGCTGAGGCTGAGGCAGGCTGAGGCTGAGGCTGAGGTGAGGCTGAGGCTGAGGCTGAGGCAGGCTGAGGCAGACGGCTGAGGCTGAGGCAGGCTGATGCTGAGGCAGGCTGAGGCTGAGGCTGAGGCTGATGCAGGCTGAGGCTGAGGCTGAGGAAAAGGTTGAGGCTGAAGGCAGACTGAGGCTGAGGCTGAAGCAGGCTGAGGCTGAGGCTGAGGCAGGCTGAGGCTGAGGCTTAGGCAAGCTGATACTGAGGCAGACTGAGGCTGAGGCTGAGGCAGGCTGAGGCTGAGGCTGAGGCAGGTTGAGGCTGAGGCAGGCTGAGGCTGAGGCTGAGGCTGAGGCAGGCTGAGGCTGAGGCAGGCTGAGGCTGAGGCAGGCTGAGGCTGACTGAGGCTGAGGCTGAAGCAGGCTGAGGCTGAGGCTGAGGCAGGCTGAGGCTGAGGCTGAGGCTGAGCTGCTGAGGCTGAGCAGAGGCTGAGGCCGAGGCTGAAGGCAGACTGAGGCTGAGGCTGAAGCAGGCTGAGGCTGAGGCTGAGGCAGGCTGAGGCTGAGGCTGAGGCAGGCTGATGCTGAGGCAGGCTGAGGCTGAGGCTGAGGCTGATGCAGGCTGAGGCTGAGGCAGGCTGAGGCTGAGGCCGAGGCTGAAGGCAGACTGAGGCTGAGGCTGAAGCAGGCTGAGGCTGAGGCTGAGGCAGGCTGAGGCTGAGGCTGAGGCTGAGGCAGGCTGATGCTGAGGCAGGCTGAGGCTGAGGCTGAGGCTGATGAGGCTGAGGCTGAGGCAGGCTGAGGCAGAGGCAGGCTGAGGCTGAGGCTGAGGCAGGCTGAGGCTGAGGCTGAGGCAGGCTGAGGCTGAGGCTGAGGCAGGCTGAGGCTGAGGCAGGCTGAGGCTGAGGCCGAGGCTGAAGGCAGACTGAGGCTGAGGCTGAAGCAGGCTGAGGCTGAGGCCGAGGCAGGCTGATGGAGGCTGAGGCAGGCTGAGGCTGAGGCTGAGGCAGGCTGAGGCTGAGGCTGAGGCAGGCTGAGGCTGAGGCAGGCTGATGCGGAGGCAGGCTGAGGCTGAGGCTGAGGCTGAGGCTGATGCAGGCTGAGGCTGAGGCAGGCTGAGGCTGAGGCCGAGGCTGAAGGCAGACTGAGGCTGAGGCTGAAGCAGGCTGAGGCTGAGGCTGAGGCTGAGGCAGGCTGAGGCTGAGGCTGAGGCAGGCTGAGGCTGAGGCTGAGGCAGGCTGATACTGAGGCAGGCTGAGGCTGAGGCTGTGACTGTGACTGCCGTTGCCGCTGCGACTGTCATCGCGAATGCGACTGCGACTGCGAGAACAGGAGAATTCTACAACTGGATTCTCATCTGGATCTTAAGGGGAATGTTTCCATATATGCTTCTACACATCGCTGTTAGGTTGCTTTGCCGGGATAATTATTTTTTCCTCTCGACATGGATTTTTACCTAACAGCTTGTTCTGATAGGTTTCTAGTGGGGTCAAAAGAGAGCAGCAAATGACTCCACAGGGGGGTCTGGGCGGGTGCCGGACAGGGTGCCGCAGAAGTCGTTTTAAGCCAACAGTCACACACTTCGTGCTCTTCGACCTCCCAGAACTCCATTCCCGGGCCACATTCTGAATGCCCGGAGCCAACTGTAGGCCACTTCGTGCTCTTCGAGTCCCCAGAATTCCATTCCCGGGCCACATTTTGAATGCCCGGAGCCAACTGTAGGCCACTTCGTGGTCTTCGAGTCCCCAGAACTTATTCCCGGGCCACATTTTGATGCCCGGAGCCAACTGTAGGCCACTTCGTGCTCTTCGATTTCCCAGAACTCCATTCCCGGGCCACATTTTGGATGCCCGGAGCCAACTGTAGGCCACTTCGTGCTCTTCGAAGTTCCCAGAACTCCATTCCTGGGCATGATTTTGAATGCCCGGAGCCAACTGTAGGCCACTTCGTGTTCTTCGAGTTCCCAGAACTCCATTCCCGGGCCACACTTTGAATGCTGAGGCAGGCTGATGCTGAGGCTGAGGCAGGCTGAGGATGAGGCAGGCTGAGGCTGAGGCCGAGGCTGAAGGCAGACTGAGGCTGAGGCTGAAGCAGGCTGAGGCTGAGGCTGAGGCAGGCTGAGGCTGAGGCTGAGGCAGGCTGATGCTGAGGCAGGCTGAGGCTGAGGCTGAGGCTGATGCAGGCTGAGGCTGAGGCAGCCTGAGGCTGACGCCGAGGCTGAAGGCAGACTGAGGCTGAGGCTGAAGCAGG